CCATACGTGAATGAATTTTTGTTAGAATTACATAAAGGTACAGCCATGTCTGTCTCGCTCGTTATTGCATGCTCAGGGACAAGAACAATGCCTGACACATAATAGGTGCTCAATAAATATTTGCTGTGTTCATTAATCTCGGTGACTTCATGAAAGAGAATTCCAAGGAAAGGTACCTGGAAATCTGCTGGGTAACACTGCCACCTGCTGGTCACTCTCCGCACTGCAGGTGCTACAGGATTTTCCTTCTCTGGGGGTTTCAAGAGGAAGCATCCTGCAGCCCAGAGGGAGGGAGAGAAGGAGGAGGCGCCCTGCCCCTGTGCTGGTCCCTCAGCAGAGATGTCACCACACTGGATCGCCATGATAACTGCTCACTCTTCTCCATTAGACTGAGTTCTGGGATAACAGAAATCTTCCTTCTCCGACTCCCCACGCTCCACCCAGCTCCCAGTTCAGATCTGGCACATAGTAGGTTGCAGAGTCATAGTAGGACTAAAAAAGAAGCCCAGACCGCCAATCCCTGACTTCAGAGATTTATGCACTTGATAGTGTCGTGCAGGGACTCTAACTCCTCGACACTGTGGTGCATACTGCCCCCAGTGTGTGTGCCTAGACACACAACCAAGGTCTGACTCTGGGCCATGGACACTGGATTCCAAGCACGTTTACTTTAGAACCCTCCTTGAACTGAGTTCATGCAAGATCATCCAAGACACACTGATTGGAGCCGGGCACAGTGGCCCACACCTACCATCCCAGCAGCTCAAGAGGCTGAGGCAGGAGGATTGCAAGTTTGAGGCCAGCCTCAGCAACTTAACAAAGCCCTATGCAACTTAGTGAGACCCTCTCTCTAAATAAAAAATAAAAAGGACTGGGATGGGGCTCAGTGGTTAAGTGTCTCTGGTTCAACACCTTGTACCAAAAAGAAAAAAAAAAAAAAAACATTGATGGGGCACCTACTGTATGCCAGGCTGCTGAAGACGCAGCAGTGAGCCCAGCTGGTCTGGGGCTCGGGGATTTTCTCAGAGGATTTGTAGAGGAATCTTTAGAACAGGAGCTCTGGCCCCATCCTGCCGTCATTCAGTATAAAAGGACACAACCCACCTGCTTATGAAATGGCCTATCAGGACTCTATGTGAGGCCATAAGAAAACTTTTTTCCCGTCCCACAACCCATGGCCCAGGCACACTCTGCAGGGCTGGTGGCCCCTTGCCAGTCCCTGCAGGCCCAGGAGTCTTATCCAAAGAGGCTCTGCAACATCCTGACCCTCACTCGCCTCCCCTCACTCAGTCACTCCCCTCAGCTAAGCCAGGGGTCTCCTGCCGACACCGGGATCTCCTGAGTCCGGCCAACAGCACATGCCTTTTGCTTTTTTAATCAAATTGTTTACACATTGATTGGACTCGGAGCACCTGGACCCTGCGCTCCGCAGGACAGGGAGCGTTCTGACCTTGGCCCCTCTACAGGACTCCCCCGGCCTGCAGTCAGTGTGTGTGAAATACATTCTGCATCAACGCATGAATTCCTGCAGGGCCCATCCTCCTTGTCAGGCCTGACACACCTCCAGCAGCCCAGGGCCCTGGACAGTCCCCTTTGCCATCCCTTCCCTGGATCTTGAGAGTGAGAATAAAATAGCTCCTGGCTCCTGGTGGTGACAGTCACTGGTGTAGAAAAGAAAACCCGTCAGCTCAGGGTGCAAGCAGGCCCCACCCCACCCCCACCCAGGAGAGCCAAGCCCAGATCCTTCCTCAGTGGTGACGACTGCTGTACAACACCCACCCGATTGTTGGCTCCTTCTTTGGAAGGGTGTTGGGCTGAGTGCCCACAGGGCCAGGCCCGACTCTGTGAGACACAGGGGGCCGCTCCTCAGCCCCAGCCGACCACTGCCGGAGGCCGCGCGTGCCCAGGATCGCCTGATCCCCTGACGCTTCAGAAGAAGCCAGAGATCTGGGTTATCACGTGAAACATCCTGGTTTGCAAAAGCTCCTTAACTATTGGATTTATGTCCCACACATTGAAGAGTGAGCAGCAGGTCACAGTCACAGGGAGAAGATCGCGGTCAGGCCTATGTACAGCGCATCTCCCACCCACAGGTTCCAGGGCCCTGGGTTAAGTCCCTCTGTGCCCCTCCGTGCTCTGGTCGGTATCATGGGCTGGCACATAACAGCTGCTCAGTAAACACCTGCTGACTGGGCGGATGAGAGCTTGCTGTGAGCCGATGTTGTCCTGGGCCCTGGGGACTCCTGGCATGAACACGGGAAAGAGGCGCAGAGAGGACCAAAGACTGTGGGGACAGACTGATGGAGGCCTGTGCCCGTTACAGAGCAGAGCTCCAAGGACACTGGGATCTGTGCCGTGGTGGACAGACCTGGATCTCGAGGGGATCCTTGAGATTCGTCTTGCAGAATAAGTCGCCTCCAGCAACACACGTGTGTGATCTTACGGTCCCGGGGACGAGGAGCCTGGGATGGCTGAGCCAGGTCTTGGGGTCCGGCATCTCTCACAGGACAGTCCCTGGGGCTGGGGTCTCCCCCAAGGGTGGAGCAGGGAGGGCCCCACCTCCGTCCTCGGGGTGTCTGCAGGATTCCCTTCCTTACAGGCTGTTGGCCAGAGGCCACCTGCACAGCCAGGTGCTTCACCCAGGACAGTAGAGAGGGCCTCCTAGGCAGACAGGGTGACCGTCTTACAGCCGCGTCACGTGATGATGTCCCAGAGCCTCTGACATGTTCTTTGGGTTAAAAGCAGGTCCGGGTCCTACCCACCCTCGAAGAGATGGAGACGGGGACCATGAAGAGCTGTCTTGTCGTGGGTCCCCCGTGTCACCTGGGCACAGGAGGACAGAGGGTGCGCCAGGGAGGGGGCTCCCCAGGCTACACTCGGGGGTGGGTGGCGCATCCAGTAGGCAAAACGCAACTGGTTCCCGGAGACGCAGAGCAGGAGGTGGGAGGAGGAGGGGCTGAACCTGCAGGAGCCACGTCCTCTCCCGAGCGTCGGGTCATCGGGTGGGGGGGGGAAAGGCCCCTGCTCCATCTGCACCAGGGGTCTGCAGGGGCGAGACCCCAGGAATTGCCGACGAATCACTCAGACGCCACAGGAGACTTCTAGAACCTTCTCTCTTGAGTAGCACTACCAGGGGCGATCCGAAGCCACTGGTGGGAGACCTTTCCGTCTCGTCTTTCCGACGAGTGCGAGGTGCTGCTGGATGGCAGGTCTCGAGTCAGAGCAAGGCCCCCGCCAAGGAGGAGCTGCGTAGGATCCGGCGTGGAGAGACCAGGACCCAGGAGCACAGGTGGGGGAGGTAGAGCGTGGGACCCCCGTGGGGGTGGATCCGGCAGGTCCTCGGGAAGATTAAGAGTGGGATCCACATGGACGAACAGGTCCACTGTGGGTGCATACAAGAAAGCAGGACTCACAAGGTCTTTCTGCAGCAGCATCGTTCATGTGAGCCGAGAGGAGGCACTGAGGGTCCCCAGGCTGGGGACACACCACATGTGGTCCATCCACACACGGTGCATTATTCAGCCTTTAAAAGGAGGAAACCTGGCTGGGCACCGTGGTGCACGCCTGTCATCCCAGCAGCTCAGGAGGCTGAGGCAGGAGGATCACGAGTTCAAAGCCAGCCTCAGCCACAGCGAGGCCCTAAGCAGCTCAGTGAGACCCTGTCTCTAAATAAAACACAGAATAGGGCTGGGGTGGGGCTCAGTGGTGAGTGTCCCTGAGTTCAATCCCCAGGGCCCCCCAAGAAAAGATGAAAACTCTGACATGGGCTACGGCAAGGATGAACCTGAGGACATGATGCTCAGAGAAGTCCCCAAAAGACAACTGCCATGTGACACCTTGTCCCTGAGGTCCCTGAGGCCATCAAGTTCCTAGAGAAGAAAGCAGAAGAGAGGAGCCGGGGCCGGGAGGGGAGATGGGAGTCGCCTAATGCAGAGCTCCAGGTGTGCAAGACGAAGCTCTGGAGACGGCTCATGCATCACTGAGAATGTCCCCGACACTCACTGGCCAAGACGGTGACTCTCATGCTGGGGGAGATTTTACTGTAACTTAAACATCCTGTAGTCCTAGGCATGGGGCGGGTTTGCTGGTCGTCCGTCCACCTAGGGGCGAAGAAGGAGTGTGTCCCCTGCTGGGCCTGGGTGGGTGACACCTGCAGGCTCAACTCTCTGGCCACCCCGGACCTCGTGTCTGCAGCTGGAGAGAACAGACACAGGTGCTAGCGGGAGCTTATTCGCTGAGGCCATGATTGAACTCCTACTGTATCCCAGGCCTTGAGCTTCCAACACAGTGTGACAAACTCATATCCAGTAAGGGAAGCAGACACTTCATTGAATAATCAACAGCATATGATTGATACCATGATCAATAATCAATACCATAATCAATAATCAATACCATAATCAATAATCAATACCATAATCAATCATTAATACCATAGACTGGGTGGAGGGAGGAAGGAAAGATCCATGACTCGGGAGGCATCCAAGAAGGTTTCCTAGAGGAGGAGCAATGAGGGTGAGTATTGAAAGACAAGACCTGGATGCTCTAGGAGGGTGGGTCAGGTGTCAGAGGAGAAGCAGGACGATCCCTTCATTACCCACCACTGCCACCTGTTGCTTACTGAATGGCTAACATTCCAAGAACACCCTGAGCACTTTACATCTCATTTAATCCTCCAAACCCCTGTGAGATAGGTACTGTTATTCCCAGTTGTGCTGATAAGGAAACCTAGGATCAGAGAGGTCATGCCATTTGCCGCAGGTCACACAGCTAATAAGCAAAAGAACCAGAGTTCAACCCAGACTCACAACCCCGTGCCCAGGCTGTTTGTTCCCGGAGGTGGGAGAGAGCAAAGCCTGAGGAACGGGTGACCGGTCGACGTGAGGTGGACTGGAGAGGGCCTGCCGCCAGGTGACAGCTGGGTCCCGTGGGCTCGGGGTCGGTGTCACCACCTTTGTTTTGCACCGTCTCATCAGAGCCCCCCGGGGCTTGCGTTTCAGCGGAGGAGTCCCTGGCGTGTGACAACCCAGGCTTGCCTGAAAACGGATACCAGATCCTGTACAAGCGACTCTACCTGCCCGGCGAGTCCCTCACCTTCATGTGCTACGAAGGCTTTGAGCTCATGGGCGAAGTGACCATCCGGTGCATCCTGGGACAGCCATCCCACTGGAACGGGCCCCTGCCTGTCTGTAAAGGTAAAGAAGAGTCCCGGGGCCCCTGAAGCTGCTCTGAAGGGGCGGGCGGCTGTCCCTGGTGAAATCTAGCAGGCCACCTGTTTTCATCCGTTTTCTGTCGCTCTAACAAGAGGCCTGAGGCAGGGAACCTTATTAAGAATAGAAGTCTGTTATTCAGCTCGTGGTTCTGACGCTGGGAAGTCCGTGAGCTTGGCACCACATCTGCTCAGCATCTGGCCAGGGCATCCCGTGGTGAGTCAGGGTCTCCTCCTCTTCCCACGAAGCCACAGTGCCACAGGGAGGGCCACCCTCTTGGCCTCAACTAACCTAATCACCTCAAAGGCCACCCCCAAATACACCAGGAGACAGGTATGAGGACTGGCTTCCAACCGCGTGAGCTGCTGGGGACACACCCAAGTCAGTGCGCTGGCCAGTGACCAGTCAGGTTTTCCGCTGGTCTTGGGGCCACCGTGGAATGAGAACTCTGGCCCACCCCTCCTCAGGAGGTCCCAGGATCGGGTGGGACGTGCCTGTCGCCAAGCCCGCGGCCTCCGCTGGCCTGCCGGCCCCTACCACTGCAGCCTTGAACCCTGAAGCCCCTCACCTCTGGGGAGTTGCACCCTGGGAAGAAGCACCCATCCTGGATGGAAAATTGGGGGGCTCAGCTGCCACGTTCCTTTAGGCCAGGGCCGTCTCCGTCTCCTGGGCCGCCAGGTGCTCTAGGAATAAAGTGGCTGGAAGTAGTCTCCATGGCGGGCCAAGCCTCGTCCCTACACGCGAGATGAACAGGAGATGGGCTGGGCTGACTCAGATGAGCATGCCAAGCAGGGAAACGGCCGCTGGATGTCACCTAAGGGCCTCGAGGCTCACCATGTCTCATGAAAGCCATGCAAGAGCCCTCACCATGTAGTTGAGAGCACAGGGAAGAGACAGCCCAGCAGTCCAGGTTGAAATCACACCACCATCTCTTAGACGCTGTGTGACGTCAGAGAAATCACTGCACATCTCTGAAACTCGACTCTCGTGTAAGATGGTGGTGTAACAGTTATCTACCTAGTGGGGCCGCTGTAAGGGTAGACTTAGGCACCGTGTGGACAGCTCTTGGCACAATACCAGACACAGGGCGAGGAGTAATTGTTCATTATCACTCTTATTGGGCTAATGTCTTTACTCTGTCTCGTCTTCCCTTGGAAATTAAGGAAGTGCTCCCCTGCGTACAGAAGCCCAAGATAAATGAGAGCACACGTTCATGTCTGATGTTTTTTGGTTTCCTTTTATGCAATCAGAGCCAATCTGCATGACGTTGACTGATGCCTCCCAATTTCTCTTGCAGTTAATCAAGACAGTTTTGAACACGCTTTAGAAGGTGAGTTCAATTCCAGTACGAGAAAAAAAAAAAAAACACTCAATACATCAAGCTAATAGCAGAAAACCGGGGCAGGTCTGTGAATATCTCTATCCAGATACTTACAAACATAACAACTAATTCCGCCTTCACACTAACAAAGGTGATTCCAAAACAGGAACGGCCGGGGGCAGTGGGGCCCACCTGTCATCCCAGCAGCTCAGGAGGCTGAGGCCAGAGGATCTCGAGTTCAAAGCCAGCCTCAGCCACAGGGAGGCCCTAAGCAACTCCAACCCTGTCTCTAAATAAAATATTTTAAAAAACTGCTGGTGGCTTAAGCACCCCCGGGTTCAATCCCCAGTACCAAAAAAAAAAAAAAAAGAAAGAATGTATAAAGAAAAGCAAGTCATTAGAATTGCAACTTATCCTGAATACAACCTGGAGGGAATTGATACCAGTTCTCTACGTGACAATAACAAGGCAAAAACATTAAATTAAATTCAATACTGGGCGTCCCCAGCCCTAAGCCCCCGTTGTGACCTTTCAGCCCCGTTCCCTGCTGAGCCAAGCACCCCCTGCCCTCTGCAGGGAGGGGGAGCTCAGGACAGTCCCAGGGTCTGTTCTCCCTTTCTTTCCGTCTCTTCCCCAACATTCCCCCGCCTCCCTGTCCTTTCATTACAAATCCCCAAGTGAGTTTTATTAAAGTGGAGCAGATGTTGAGAACCGTGCAGGGTGCTGGGCTCTTTTCCGTTGTGGTCCCTCTCTTTCCTCTGCCTCTGTTCAATTGGGTACAAACACCTCCCACTCCAGCCCTAGGAAAACCTCTATTGTCGCATTTCTGTAGATGTCTCCACCAATTACGCGGCTGCTGCTGTTCTTTCTGGAGCCACCGTTTGCTCTGGGACAATAATGAGGTCTGGGGCTCTGCGGATGCCATGTCATGAGCTGCTGTTCCTTGCAACAGACCCCATTCTAATCCCAGCAGGCAGAGCCAGGGTTCCACCATAAGTGACGGGAGGAGGGTGTGTGGGTCCCTCCACCTGGAAAATAAGGGGCACATCTCGCTGTTATTCTCCGGCGGGGCTCCGGGCCTGCCTTTTGCCAGCCAGCGAACCGTGACAGTCCCCCGGGGGGCTCTCAGACACCGTGAGCACCTTGTAACGTTCTGTGCTCGCACATTTATTGTTGTATTAGGATTGATTTTTTCAGACCCTGTAAAGTGGCAGTTAATGGGTTATAGATTGGAGGACAGCTCGGCTCTGCTGGACGTGACCGTGCAGCAGGCGGAGAGGCCCTGCAGCCTAGGCTCTCAAGCCACCTGGGTCCCCCGTCAAGCCGTGCTGGGAAATGCCCCAGAGAGCTACCCTAGTCCTTGCCATGGCCACCACCCTGGCTGTGGGAGCCCCCAGGTGACACGGAGAGGGTGGCCCAGGAATGGGCAGTGGAGGTTCTGGAGGAAGCCCAGGGGTCTTCTCAGTCGGGGTGTCCTCCACCTGCAGCCTGACAGCTCCCCAGCAGCTCCCACCCTCCCCTGGGCTGAAATGTCCCTGAGTGGTGCTGGCAGGGACCCCAGCTGGGGGTGACGAGGTCCCGGGCTGGCTCCAGGGTTGAAAGTTCCTGTTAGAGACCTCGTGGCTGACCCTGGGCACGGGCAACTGTCTGAGGCTCAGTTTGGTTTGGGTTTTGGTTTTTTTGTCACATGAGGTTGAACCCAGGGTCACAGCCCAGCCCCTCTTTTCTCTCCTCTGCACCCCATGGACTGTCCAGGGAACCTGCCCTCCCGGTCACCACCTTTGGGGTTTTCTCCACTTCTCTGATTTCCCTTGCGTTGGGTTCTAGCCCAAGTGTACCCACATCCAGCCCCCAGATGGCACAGAGATGATCGGGATCCCAGCTGCCATTCTGGTGGCCCTTCTGGCCATGCCACCGCAGAAGGAGTCTGGGCTCCCGGGCCCCTGGTGTCTGCCTCTGCCCTCCGGGGTCTGGGGCTCTGGGGCGTCAGCCTCTTGGGGACCGCAGCACCGGGAGGGCGGGGTCGCCCCCGCGAGCGGGCACCCGGGGTGGGGGGCGTGAGACGGGCCTCAGTGGCTTCCTTGTTCAGTAGCAGAAGCGGCAGCAGAGTCGTCGCTGGAAGGCGGGAACGTGGCCCTGGCCATCTTCATCCCGGTCCTCCTCATCTCCTTGCTGCTGGGCGGAGCCTACATTTACGTCACCAGGTAGGAGGGGGAGGGGCGGCGCTCCGCATCCCACCTGCCGCTCCCGGGCAGAGGCACCCGCGGTGGCCTCCTGGGCACCTGCCCAGCCTCCGGGTGGGCAGCAAAGGGGACAGACACCATCCCTGACCCGAGAACTTAGGGACTTAGGGGACACGGACAGTACACACCGCGGTGCACTGACTCACCCATCCCACCATCCACTCGCTCGCTCGCTTATGCAACAATTACACGGTGGTCATCAGATCGGGACCAGCCATTGTCCCTGGTGCTGGTGGCCGCTAGCCTGCACTTGGTGGAGAGGGAAGATATTCCCCCGCGCGGTCCAATCACCAAGTTTCCAGAGTCACAGCCGGGGCGCGCCTACTCTGTGCCAGGCAGCCTCTGGGCGGCACAAAGCCGAGTCTTTGCCTTCTGGGATCAGGGTCCTCGGCGAGCGGGCAACGGGGACAGCAGGCGGAGCACATCAGAGAAGCATGCAGTGCGTTGGGACAGAAGAGGAACTGGGAAGGGAGAAAAGGGCTCTGGGGTCGAGATGGTTTTTAAGGAGTAGGCAGCAGAGGCCCCACTGAGAATTTGAGGGTGTGATCATGAGCAAACCAGCCGGTCTGTGGGAGGGGAGGATGCAGGCAGAGAAGGCGCACGTGCAAAGGCCTCGAGGCAGCCAGCGGCTAAGGTGCACCGTGCCCACCCAAGCGGAGCTCAAGGTGGGGGTGGGGGGAGACTGCAGACAAATAAATGACAGCTGGGGTGAGCCACCTGCGAGAGGCGGTTTTCACACACCCCTTGTCAGTCCCGGAGGGTTGCCAGCTGTTTGGTGTCTGGGTCTCCGCGGGAGAGAAGTAACCGCCGTCCCCTCCTCCGCAGGTGCCGCTATTACTCGAGCCTCCGCCTGCCCCTCATGTACTCCCACCCCTACAGCCAGATCACCGTGGAGACCGAGTTTGACAACCCCATTTATGAGACCGGGGTGAGTTGCTCGTCCTTCCTGCCCCCTGTCCCCGCACCTGCAGCTGGCAGAGGCACATCCAGTGGCCTTGTCCCACTCCTGCCAAGTCCCCTGCTGAGCTGACCAGCTCTGCCTGCAAGTGACCAGAGCCAAAGAGAGCCTGAAGGCCTGGGGAGGGGGGACAGGCATGGGGGGAAGGGCTCTCCACAGAGCAGCTCACAGCAGGAGTGTCCCTCCTCCCAAGACAGAAGTCACAGTCCTGCCCAGTGTAAGCACAGGAGGGACGTCCTTGTGCTAGAGTCATGTCACAGGCCCACTCACCCGGCAGAGAAGGGGACCACACAGGGACATGAACACCAGGAGGTGGGCACAGCGGGGGCCACCTTAGATCCGGACCAAAGTGTAGATGTGGTTGTTCACTAGTGTGGGCCCAGCAGGACCCAGAGACTTCCACCAACATGGTGACCACTGCCAAGCTGAGCCTGTGACTTCTAGCCTTCCCTGCTCCTCACCGGGGCCTAGGATACGCTCCACACGCTCCGTGAACACTGGAGAGATTGACTTGGTTGCTACCCCAGGTGCAGCCATACCAGATGGGGACATCCCCATCCCACCAGGAAGGGGCAGAGGCTGCTTTGGACCCTCTGCATCTTCTTCCAGATCCCAGAGAAAGGCCAGGCCCGTGCAAGTGGCACTTTAGTTGTTTGGTTTTTAGGTGTTAATGATTTTCTTATTTGCTCTTGTTGGTTACACATGACAGTAGAGTGTGTTCGGACACATCAGACAGACATGGAGTGTGGCTTCCCGTTCTTGTGACCGTGCACGAGGTGGTTTCACTGATCATGAGTTTACATATGAACACAGGAAAGTTCTGTCCAGTCCACCCCACTGTCTTTCCCATTCCCATCGCCCTCCCTTCCCTTCCTTCCCTTTGTCTAATCCAATGAACTGGGTTCTCCACCCCCCCTTATTGTGTGTTAGCATCAACATATCAGAGAGAACATTCAGCCTTTGGTTTTGGGGGGACTGGCTTATTTCACTTAGCATGATATTCTTCAGTTCCCTCCATTTACCAGCAAATGCCATAATTTCATTCTTCTTTAAGGCTGAGTAATATTCCATTGTATATATGTACCACAGTTTCTTTATCCATTCTTCTGGATATAGCTTGGCTATGGTGAATTGAGGTGCTGCAAACATCGATGTGGCTGTGTCACTGTAGCATGCTGAATTTTAACCCTTTTGGATATACACCAAGGAGTGGGATAAATGGGTCAAATGGTGGCTCCATTACACACTTTCTGAGGACTCTCCATACTTGTTTCCAGAGTGGTTGCACCAATTTGCAGTCCCACCAGCAATCAGGATGTACCTTTTCCTCCCACATCTTCCCCAACATTCCGGCTGGAGTGAGATGAAATCTCAGTGGAGTTTTAATTTGCATTTCTCTAATTGCTAGAGATGATGAACTTTTTTTCATATGTTTGTGGATCAGTTTTATTTCTTCTTCTGTGAGGTGCCTGTTCAGTTCCTTGGCCCTTTTCTGGATTGGGTTATTTGGTTTGGGGTGTGAAGTTTTTGAGGCCTTTATACACCCTGGAGATCAGTGCTCCGTCTGAGGTGCAGAGGGCAAAGCTGGAGGCTCTCTCTGCACCTTCCTGATTGTTTCCTCTGCTGTGAAGAAGCTTTTGAGACTGACACCATCCTGGACATGGTGTTTTACAGACTGGATCACTCATATGGATGAGCAGGGTGTATCACTGACCTGTAGAGCCAACAGGATACTCAGCGGAAAACAATCCCCAACTCGGTAGCTCAGAGCCACAAACATGGATTTGCTCAGCAGGGTTTTAGGCTGCTCTCAGCTGGCTGGTGATCCTAGGATGGGCTGGTTGCCATCTGGGGGGCTCATTCTGCTGCCCATGTCCTTTATCAGCCAGTGGGGTCCAGAGGCTTCCGGGGCATGCCCTGTCCACGGTAAGGGCACAGGAAGAGACACGAGCAGACGCACACAGCACAGTCCGCGCACCTGCTGCGGGCCGTTTGCTAATGATCCATCCCAAGAAGCAAGTAGGGGTCACGAGGTCAAGGGCACGGACACAGGAATTCCTAAGAACTGGCACCATCCCTCGAGGCCTCGCTCTCCCACCCAGGGCTTCTCAAACCTGTGCTGCTCTCTCCCTCTCTTGCAGGAGACCAGAGAGTACGAGGTTTCTATCTGAAGGAGCCGCACCTGAGAAGGGAGCCTGCGGACGTCGCCTCAGTCACGACCCCGGGGGACGCCCATCCAGAGACCACGTGGCATTTGATGGAAGCCCTTCCCCCCCCCCGCGCCCGCTGTCTTTTCCTTAGACTCTTCATTGGAGATTTACTGTTTTCTTCACTGTATTTATTATATTTAAAATTGAAATAGGTGTGGTTCCAGGTATCGCAGCTGCAGCCGGGTTCAAGTGACCGTCTCCATCCTGAAGGCCGCTGGGAGGTTTGCAGAGCGGCCAAGGGCAGCAGAAGAAGGAAAAGCACCAACCCCCCCCCCCAACAAAAACACCCGCTACGGCTGCATCGGACTGCATGCGTCTCGGACACCCACGCCCACGGAGGTGGGCTCCAAACCCAAGTCCCAAGATCAGTCCAAAAAGGGTCTTTCTCGTTGGGTTACCTCGCCTTGGACTTTAGCACAGGGCTGACACCCATTCTGGTTTGCTCGTCTTTTCCAATCTGACCAGCTTCTAATGCTCTTGCCCTCATCTCCTCCTTCCCACGGGCCTTGAGAAGGCAGCAAAGATGTCCCCTAAGCCAGGCACAGTGGCCCACGCCTGCCATCCCAACAGCTCAGGGAAGGCTAAGGCAGGAGGATCGTGAGTTCAAAGCCAGCCTCAGCCACAGCGGGGCCCTAAGCAACTCAGTGAGACCCTGTCGCTAAATAAAATGCAAAATAGGGCTGGGAGTGGGGCTCAGTGGTCCAAGACCCTGAGTTCAATCCCTGGCACCAAAAAAAATAAAATAAAGATGTCACCTAAGTATCCTCTTGTGCCACCCTGGCCTTACTGGGCACCGGCAAAATAAGAAAATGTTTTCTTTCTATAAAGGTGATAAATGACGGAGGAAAATTCAGAGAAGACATGAGATTTGAGAGTCCCAATGAAACATTGGGTGAGGGGAAGATTGAGCGAGGGAATTGAGTTAATAAAATGTCCTTTCCTTTGACACTCCTTCAATGATAAAAGAGCAGGTCATTTACACTACAAGTGCCAGAATCGATCACCTTGTTTGGCAGGGCCAGTCTCAGGCTGTGATAATAAATCCACGGGCTCAGGAGGACGGCAGAGTCTGCATGGGGGGGAGAAGGCAGCCTGCTGGAAATCCAGGGGAGCTGCTTCTGTTGTGGGGGTGCTGCAGCGTCTCGGCCTTTGAAACGGGAGAGGGCGGACTGCATAGCTCTGCGAAGGACAGAAGGACGCTACCTTGAGGACGCGCTGGCTCTTAAGTATCTCCGCAGGGTGGAGGGGCCTGGGAGCGTGGGAACAGGGGCCAGGGCTAAGTGCGCAGTGGGAAGGACGACTTCTGGCCAGACCCATCTGGACGTCCAGGAGGACGGGAGGAGGACGTTCAGGTCGTGCCACTGAGTCGAATCCCGTCTTTGTGCTGCAGCCCGGAAGGAACCACCCAGAAGCAGCCAGCGGTGATCATGTGACTCCGACAGGCAGCACACGGGCTCGGTGGCTTTGACGCCCTCCCACGCTCTCTTAAATCTGCTGGTTTTCAAACAAGGAAAGAAAAAATCCTTCCCGGCTGCCGTGCCCCACAGAGAACAGCTGGGAGTCCATCTTTGGACAGTTGCTTTGGAGACGTCCAGAGGGGGACGGGGAGCCGGGTCTGAGCGGGCAGGTCCTCCCCCAGCAGGAGCCCAGACCTTCATCCAGGGGGACACGGTGGGGGTCGGAGGTGGCAAGGTTTTCCTTCTGCCAGAAGAGAATCCTGCGTGGGTGCTCCCCACAGTGGACGCCCGCGAGAGACCACAGCCCCTGCCCAAGCCCAGGGCCCACCCTGGCTACGAAAGACCCCCCAGGAGACCATCCAGACTTGTGGTGAGCAGTGTCCCCTTTGGAGAAAGACAGCAATACAGCTAATGTCCCCTTTTTAAAGAGGCAGAGTCCAATCCTTGCTCGTCTTGCAATCTGATGCTTATTCTAACCTGAGCCCCGGGACCCGGCAGTGAAGAACGGGCTGATGGACTTCAGAACAGACCACAGCTGGGCCAGAGCTGGACATCTGCCTTCTGTAAAGATGGACTACCTATAAACCTCTAGGCTGCTTCTGCCCCGGGAGCAGGCAGGTCTCCTCTTGGCTACTGGAGGGTAGAGAAGACGCTGACCCTTTCTGTCCAGAAGGCCAATGTCTTTGCCCTGGGTTCGTTCAGTATCTGTCACCAGGTCCCCAGTTCCTCTTAGCCCAGAGGCAGGACCTGTGAGCTCCACCATGTCCAGCACGGCCAAAAAGACAGGTTGGTGTCTTCTTTTTTCTCTTTTGGAAACATCTGGATGTGTACCTGTCCTGTGGGGAGGGAAGACGTCACTCACAGTGCCAAATGCGCACCAGATTGCTCATTCACCGTTCGCCTACGTCTGTTTTTATAAGATCAAAATTAAAAACCCATTGGGATTAAATACTTTTGACCAGGATACACTCTTGGGAAACTCGAGGACCCACTGAGGCTTCTTCCCAGTGGGGCCACACGTTGACAGAGCCCGCCAGCTTCTGCGGATGCATGTGGTGGCATCGATGACCAGCTGATCCGTGCAGGCCGTCCCTGTCTCTAGCCGCTAACACCCTGTGCTTTCAAATGCCCACCCTCCGCCCTCTGCAGCTTAGAGCAGACCTTTCCTGGTGTTGGGTTTTGGTTTTTTGATAGGATTATTGAACCGACACAAGCATCCCGACGAGCCTCTTTCCTTAATGCCATGATGCGTTTCAACTGGGATCCTTTGAAGTCAGCTCCTTGGAGAGCTTACAGAACGTCAGGCCCATCGCTTTAAAGACTGCCAAGCAGCCCAAAAGGGAGTGCAGTGGCGATGTTTTCGGGAGGGTGATAAAAGGGGGGCACTTTGGGAGGGGGATTGGGTAGCTTTAGGCAGAGACAGGAGCCTTGGGCTCAGACGGCCTTTCCATGGGGGGGCAGAGTCAAAGGGCATGACCTTCCTATGTCCTTGACGAGACATGGGGTCACTTGAGGTCAGCTGTTGAGAGTGTTTGGGACCCTCAGAGGTGGGCTTTCTCCCGGGAGATTTTCATTTTTCATTTTATCATCAAACAGAATAAAAAATCGAAACCAACTTTGTAAGCTAGAATAATGAGATGAAGTCATTTTCCACTTTGTATATATTGATGCTAATAAAACAAGTGAAAAAGAATAAGATCTGTGGGATTTTTGTACCAAAGCCCCGGGAAGGCACAACTGGGGGATATTTCCAGTTTCTGGGGATCGAGGTGACGTAACACCTGCTGGTGTTTTTAAGGCCAGGACAGGACTGTCCCACTCTGGAATGGTCCTGGGATCACTAAAGAAATGTTTGGAGCAAGACAGTTCTCAGGGGTCTCCCAGCATCAAACATGCAACCCTCACCCCCACACCCCCAGGCTCAGGCTGTCCTAACTAAATATCTAGGGTTGCTCCAACAGATTTGTGTTCAAAGTTCTAGAGGCTTAGAAGTCCACGCTCAGCCTGCCGGACAGTTCAGCTCCTGGAGGGGCTCTTCAGGCTTGTAGACGGCGGTCCCGCAGGGCCTCGGCTCAGCAGAAGGGAAACAGAAAGAGAACGTAAAAGCTCCCTCTCCTCAAGGGCCACAGTAGTCAGCCAGCACAGTGGCCCATGCCTGCCATCCTGGCCACTCCGGAGGCTGAGGCAGGAGGATCACGAGTTCAAAGCCAGCTTCAACAACAGCGAGGCCCTAAGCAGCTCAGTGAGACCCTGTCTCTAAATAAATACAGAATAGGGCTGGGATGGGGCTCAGTGGTGGAGGGCCCCTGAGTTCAGTCCCCGGTACCACCCCCCAAAAAGGCCACAGTCATATCAGATTAGGGTCCCACCCTCTGAGCCTCTTGAACCTTAATTACCTACCAAGACCCACAGTCCCCACGGAGGCTAGGCTTTCAACATGCAGATTTTGAAGAGACACAATTCGATCCATAGCGTTCTGTCCCTGGCCCTACCAACAATCCATGCCATTCTCGAACGCAAAATACACTTGTTCCACCCCCAAGAGTCCCAAAGAATGAACCCATCCCCACATCCACTCTGAAGTCCGACACCCAAAGTCTCACCTCATCGTCACTGAAATCGGTGGGTAAGGCTGTAGGTGTGACTCTTCCCAAGGCAAAATCTCTCCTGTCTGTGAACCTGAGACCTGTGAACCGCCATCTGTGAAACTCACCTGTTACCTTCATGAGCTTCCAAAACACAACGGTGCCCCAGGCAGAGGTCAGGGGTTCCCACTCCAGGGCAGAACCCGGAAAGAAGGGGACAAGGTCCTCAAGCACCGACAAATGAGCTCACGAGCCACAGGAACAGCCCTTCAGATTCCTTGTGCTGTCCCCCCTGCCCTCCCTGAGCCTGGCCGACTGGAGATGCATCCCCGCCCCTGGGAACAGAAGAGGAAGCAGCCTTGGTGGGGACAGCCCTGATGGACTCCCAGTCTCCTCTGAGATCAGTCTTCCCCTTCCTTAAAGAACAGCACACGTCCACGGCTGGAGAGGTCTGTGGTCCGGGGAGTCCGGGAAGTCTGGACAGCCCTCCTGCCCTCCGTCCTGTCTAGAGATGCTGTGATCGCATCTCTGCTCCTGCATCTGCTAAGAAGGCCGCAGAAGTCCTCGAAGAACCCGCGATCTCGCTACCACAAGGTGGTTCAGGCACAGCCCTATGAAACAATGTTCCTCTTTCCGGAGGTGGGAGGTACCAGGGACCGAACTCAGGGGCCCTCGACCACTGAGCCCCGTCCCCAGCCCTATTCTGTGTTTTATTTAGAGACAGGGTCTCCCTGAGCTGCTTAGGGCCTCGCTGTGGCTGAGGCTGACTTTGAACTCAAGATCCTCCTGCCTCAGCCTCCCGAGCCGCTGGGATGACAGGTGTGAGCCACTGCGTTGGACTCATTTTTTTTTTTTCAATGTGGAAAGGCTGTGAATTCCCCAAATCTTCAGGTTCTACTCCTTTTCCCTTAACAATTCC